AGGTCCAATCAGAAACTGAAATTTTAAGTTAACTTCCGTTGCAATCAAACTCTCTCACATTCACAGTCAAACTCTCTCGCAGAAATTGACGGTGAATGTGAGAGGGCTTGATAGCGAATGTGAGAAGGTTTGATAGCGAATGTGAGAGGGTTTGATAGTGAATGTGAGAGGGTTTGATAGCGAGTGTGAGAGGGTTTGATAGTACGTGTGAGAGGGTTTGATAGCGAGTGTGAGAGGGTTTGATAGTACGTGTAAGAGAGTTTGTAGGTTTGATAGCGAATGTGAGAGAGTTTGATAGTACATGTAAGAGGGTTTGATAGCGAATGTGAGAGGGTTTGATAGCGAATGTGAGAGGGTTTGATAGTATGTGTAAGAGGGTTTGATAGTACGTGTAAGAGGGTTTGATAGCAAATGTGAGAGGGTTTGATAGTACGTGTAAGAGAGTTTGTATGTTTTGGCCTATGGGGCCTGGTTTGATAGCGAATGTGAGAGGGTTTGATAACGAATGCGAGATGGTTTGATAGTATGTGTAAGAGGGTTTGATAGCGAATGTGAGAGGGTTTGATAGCAAATGTGAGAGGGTTTGATAGTACGTGTAAGAGGGTTTGATAGCGAATGTGAGAGGGTTTGATAGTACGTGTAAGAGAGTTTGTAGGTGTGATAGCGAATGTGAGAGAGTTTGATAGTACGTGTAAGAGGGTTTGATAGCGAATGTGAGAGGGTTTGATAGTACGTGTAAGAGGGTTTGNCAAAGCTCTCTGTCAGCTTGCTGCTCTCTCAGACCCTCATTGAGGTGCTGGTCCACAAACGCTCGGCCGTGACTCGGGCTCCCCAGTGGGCCGCGGAGCAGTGGCTGATGGGTAGATGATCTGAGTCACACAGCTGCTGCCGCTCAAGGTGAGCCGCCCCGGGCGCATAAATCTGCATGGCTAATGAGGAGCAGCCGCAGAGGGCCCACTTAGAACCATTACACCAGTTTTGTGGTGTACGAGCGTGCGCTTTTTGAAAGGGGAAGCTGCATCCAGGAGGAGACTAGAGGGACTACAAGGAGGGAAGAGTTCAGGGTTCATTTGTTTTCAGTGTGTGAGGAAGAGCAGGGGTCAGACGGGCTCTTTAGCCCTGCATTTAAGAGCGTCATTAGAGGGTGCTTGTTTCAGGTCATACCTAAGGGATAAAACATGACTGAATCTTGAGCGCGTCTTGAATTTACGGCTGCTTTCAGTCAGACATATAGGCAGGACTATGGAAGTAGGCTGATTTTGTGTCTGTTGAACCGTTTCTGTGTTGATTTGGCCTTAAAATGACTCGGCATATCCTTTGATTTCCGTATAATGCATAATACAGTACACTCTAACAAAGTTCCCAGGGTCCTGGGATGAAATATTTGTCTTAACATTTAAAATTCTCTGCAGATTTCAGCAAAACTCCACGTTTATGTTTGGGATGGTGGGAAAGAAACATTTGTTTGGAATTATTCCCAAACAACTAGATTGAATTTAGCATTAAGTGGTTGTTTTGGAAACATTGTGCACCCAAAGATGCTTTTTTTTTTTTTTAGATTTTTCTACCTCCTTAACCATCTTCCTCACAACAAGTTGTCATGTGTCTCATGTATCACACTTGAGAAGATCCTAAAATCCATTTAAAAGGATCGTGGCAATAATTCTGCTTTATTTCTTGAATTTTTTCTTAAAATGCTTATTTTTTAAATATGCCTAAATTACACATTGGGTTTTTCAAAAAAAAATTCACTGTGAAATTTTGCCTCTACAATAAAATATCCAATTGTTTTAAGGCTTGAAATGCATATTTACCAAGGGTGACAATAAATGATGCTGCACTGCTCATATCGCTCAATGCATCTGCCTCTTTAGCATTTTCTCACTGTGCATTTTCTCATCTATTTGTAATCATAAACCACCGCAGCTGCTGTATATCCCAGCTGGCTGTCAGTGACGAACGACTCTCTGAGACGCTAGTCTGCAAGTTAGATGAGATACCACGCCGTGATCGATTGCTTGTGCCTCTGCTCTCTCCTAATGTGCCCGTTTTCTTCCTCCTTTTTTTTTTATTTTTTTTTTATTAAAATATCCTTATATCCTCTTTATCTGCTTAGGGTCGGAATTCTGCTTCCGCAACTTCACCAGCCCGTCCGGCATGATCGAGTCCCCGGGCTTCCCGGATAAATACCCGCACAATCTGGAGTGCTCATACATGATCATGGCCCCGCCCCACATGGACATCACCCTGACCTTCCTCACGTTCGACCTGGAGAACGACCCCCTCATGGTGGGCGAGGGCGACTGCAAGTACGACTGGCTGGAGGTGTGGGACGGCCTTCCGCAAGGTGAGCCGAACGCAACCCCAGGGGGCGGGGGGGAGATGAATGGACGCGCGCGCACTTTGAACATTCACCCTCCGTATCCACTGACTCATGCAATCCCCGTCGATCCTGTGTGTAAATTTGCATACCGGCCTTCAATTTCCTGAGCTGCCATCACTCTCTTTGATGTGAGCTGCCTTTCCTTACATTCCATTACATCCCATAGAGGAAGCACTATTTCACAGAGGGAGCTCAAAGTGCCTCGATGCCCCTGAGGAGTAGGCCTTTCCCATGGCCCTTTTCCTTTTTCCATAATAACGCTCTTCATCACCCCCCCCGCACCCCTCCTGCTCTTCCAATTCCCCTCCTTATCACCTGGCACTTCCTTCCTCCCCAGACGAGTGAGTGACAGCCGCGATGGGTATCAACAAGGAGGAGATGAGTGTAGAAAAAAAAAAACGAGATCAGGGAAAAACATTTCAGGATGTAATCAAGGGGCGTTAATACGGTAAACCGCAGGAAAGTAAAACGAATGAAACGCGGAGTGTTAGAGTTAGCCAAAACTCAGTCATGACGTTGATGGTCAAGGTTATCATTTTGACTTCTGGTTGCTGCCATGAAATTCTCAAATCAATGAGATGCATTTTGTCATAATTCTCACTTAAAAAAAAAAAGACGACTTGGACAGTGCATGTCATAGTCATGCAACTGGAAGTCAAAATTATGAAACTCTGAAACTTTACATTTTTTCCTAATTAAGACTTTAAATATATATATATATATATATATATATATATATATATATATATATATATATATATATATATATATATATATATATATATATATAT